CCATCCCATGCAACACCCTCCTGTCAGCATCTGGATGCTCAGAGGATGCTCCATCATCAAAAAGCCTTCCTAGATTTTGGAGAGGAGGGAGTGTTAAATCACCTGGTCTTATTTTGGCATCTTTGCATTGAAAGAAACAACCTGCAAGCTCAGTATATCCTCTGCTTCCTTCCACCTCTTTAATTCCTGTTAACAAGGCCGTGATTTCAAGCTTCATCCCATAACCTGCCTGAGTGGTGGAGAGAGAGCAGCGGGGACTACTGGAGCAGGAATGAAAGTGGCACATATGGACATGTGGAAATGGCCTATTTGAAAGAAGTAACCAGGTCCTGTGGCACTCCAGCCCTCCTCATCATGCTGGGAAACAGCATCTGCCACTTTCCAAACTGATGGCATTACGGTCTTATACCGTGTGGGGGTCTCACTGGTAGGGGTCTCACCCCTTCCAGAGGAGCCTGACACAAGGAACAGCCCCAGGAGATGAGAACCTCAGTCTCGTTCTACAGAAAAATAACTCCAAGGACTGAGATTTGAGGCACTGGGACTCCCGTGACACACAGCAACTGTGCCTCCAGCCCTTCAGCATTGCTGGGGGCAGCTGCAGCAAAAAGCATCCCAGGACCGCCGGCTGCCCCGCTGCCACAGCATCTGTTGTCCCCTACTGTCACCCACGGCCCCCGAGACCACGTGCAGCCAGAGTGACTCTGCAGGAAAACGATAACCATAAAATAACAACAAAACAGGGTCCCCAGCGAGCCCTCGCTCGCTGCACCCAAACTGAGCCCGACGCCAAGGATGGGCAAAGCACCTCCTGGGAGGTGGGAGACTGCTCCCAGCCCCGGACCCCCCCGCAGCGGGCATCCTACCGGGGATGTCCCCCCCCTCCGAAGGTGCTCAGGTGGCACCTTTGTGCCTGCGGATGCTGCTGTGCGGGATCCGCCGCCGGCTCTGCTGCGGCGGGGACCGCGATGGGCGACGCTTCACTGCGATGGGGACGCGATGGGGTCCCTCTCTTTTTCGTCTACGGGGGGCTCGCCGCGGCGGGAGGGGGGAGGCCAGTCCTGCCCTTCGCCAGCCTAACGGAGCGGCCGGGAAGCTTCCAGAGGCCGGGAGCACAGCCGAGCGCAGCCCCGGAGCTCTCCGCGGCCGCTCCCGCTGGAAGGGGCACATGCCGGGGGGGGCTCCACGTCCCCGCACGGGCTGTCACCGAGCAGGGGGGGACCCCCCCGGGGACGAGGCCGCCCGGGCACCGCCACCACCGAGACCTGCCCCGAAACCGGCTCCATCCGCAGCGCGACCCCCCTCCCCGCGGGGTTCGGGTGTTTCCACGGGAGACAAAAGCCGGGATGCGCCCCCCCACCACCACCACCACCTCCCGAACCTTACTCCCCCCCTCGGCGCTGCTGTGTCACGTCCCCCCCGGGCCGGGCTTACCGTGCGGGGCCGGGCGCGGTCAGTGCCCCGACGGGGCGGTCATGGGCGCCGCGCCGGGTGCGGGGGGACGGCGGGGGGACGGCGGGGGCACCGCCCGGCAGGACGCACCAGCTCCGGCTCCGGGCTCGGCGGAGGGACGGGCCGGGGCGGCGGGGAGTGACGCGCAGAGCCCCGCCCGCCGCCGGCCCTGCCGGGAGATGTAGTGCGGGACCGGCCCGGCCTGGCCGCCCCGCGGGGCTCCGGCCGGGATACGCCGCATCTCTGCAAGCACGGAGGTCTGAGGGGGACCCCCCCACACACATCCTGCACCCCCGCATCCCGTCCTCCGGGCTCTGACAAGGACCCCCCCCCCCCCCGGATGCCGCGCTCCCCGGGGATCTGAGAGGGGCGCCCCGCATCCCGCACCCCAGGGCGCTGAGAGGGAGACACCGCATCCCTGCACGCGCGGGGGTCTGAGAGGGACTCCCCACATCCCCGCATCCCACGGCTCCGGCAGGGAGCCCCCCGCGTCCCGCACCCTGGGCATCAGAGAGGGACGCCCCTCAGGTCCTGCACCCATGCAGGTCTGACAGGGACCCTCCAGATGCCGCACTCTGGGGATCAGAGAGGGGGACCCCCCACATCCTGCACCCCGGGGCTCTGAGAAGGAGCCCCCGGATCCCACACCCTGAGGATCTGACAGAGACACTCCAGATCCCCACACCCCGGCACCCCCAGTCACCAAGCTCCCAACCCGTCAGTGCAGGTGAGAGACCAGCCGGAGCTCAGAGTAGCGTTTGGGGTGGGACTAACCCATCCGATACACAGCACCCGGGGACAACACTGAGATTTTCATGTCCCTTGCCTGTATCGTTTGGGATTCAGCTCAGAGCCGCATCCTCTCCCATCCTACCTCCTCACAGCCAAGCAGCATCCAGCTGGGCTTTAAGGAGGGAGCTCTAAACTGGGCTTAAAGGAAAGAAACTGCAAGTGTTTCATTGAATCACTGAATGGATGGGTTGGAAGGGACCTTAAAGATCAGTTTGATCCACCTCCCTCTAATCCTGCTCTCTGCCGGTTTTAAGCCATTCCCCCCTTTTCCTCCAGGCCCTTTTCCCTCCAGCTCTCCTGGAGCCCCTTTAGGCACTGGAAGGGGCTCTCAGGTCTCCCTGGAGTCTTCTTTTCTCCAGGTGAACACCCCCAGCTCTCCCAGCCTGGCTCCAGAGCAGAGGGGCTCCAGCCCTTGGAGCATCTCCGTGACCTCCTCTGGACTCTCTCCAGCAGCTCCTCATCCCTGTGCTGTTGTTCCCTAGGGCTGGAGGCAGCTCTGCAGGTGGAGTCTCACCTGAGTGGGGCAGAGGGGCAGAATCTCCCCCTCCCCTACTGCCCACGCTGTGGGATCAGCCCAGGGCATGGGGGGTTCTGGGTCCCAGCCCACACATCTGGGGCATGTGGAGCTTCTCACCCACCAACATCCCCAAGTCCTTCTCCCCAGGGCTGCTCTCAATCCATTCTCCACCCAGTCTGTATTTGTGCTTGGAGTTACTATGACCAACGTGCAGGACCTTGCTTTTGGCCTTGTTCAATTTCATGAGGTTTGCACGGGCCCACCTCTCAGGTTTCTCAGGGTCCCTGTGGATGGCAGATAAACCAAGTTTTTCTATATAAACACAGAAAATTCTGAGACAAGAAATGTAAAACCCAGAATTTAAACACATTTTAAACACCCCTCTAGCCAGCCGGATCCCTTCAGCCCCTTCAGACCTGCTCAAAACCACCAAGAGATGTTCCTACAAGCAACTGAAACCACATTCTTCTTCCCGCATCAGGTTCCCAAAAACACCCACCCGGCAATCATTCCCCATTTCATGTTGCATGGGTTGCATTCAAGAGGTTAACTCAATTTCTAGCTGTGGATTCTTTGTTGCTCCCTGTCTAGCTGTGCCGTCACACTCGTCCGGATAAATGGATCACGTTAATGAACATCAACGGAAGGACCGCAGCCATAAATTCTCCAGAATCGTTGGCCTCTGAAGAAACCTTAATTCTACTTTGACAGCAAAATCGGATTCCAAAGATCTCTCTCCCTGCTGTGCTTTATTTTGGGCTGTATCGTTTTGCTGGGCAGGTTGTCATGGCAACCTGATATTCACTGGAGGGTGGCTGTAATTGGGAGAGCACATTGTTAATTTAGCTCCAGAATTTTTTTTTTTATTATTATTATTTTTGTTGTATTTTAAGCAAAGGAGAACTGCCTGGCTTTTCATATTTTTATCTATGAACATGCTATGGTTTAATTATTAATCTGAGTGCCAATAGCATCACTCCAGTGACGGTTGAGCTGCTGTGCAGAGCTCATGGGGGCAGACAACAGCTCTGCCCACATCCCTTTTTCTCAGCTCATCTTCTCACGCAGCTTCCCCACATCTCCTCCAGCCCCCAAGCCCCTAATCCGAAAGCCCCCAGGCCTAGGCTTTCACAGGGATGCTCCTGGTGCATGGGGGCAGGACTAGGGGGGGAAAAAAAGGGTACGATCTGCTCTTGTATTAATGATAATTTTTTTGGAATTCCAGTGCAACTGGAATCATCAGCTTTAACCTGATAACAATTCATCTCAGATAGTTATTTAGAGCAACTCACCCTCTTTGGAGAACACAAGCTCCTAAAATCAATGGTGTGAACAGGATGACACGTGTACATCCAGCTCCTGGGTGGGCACAGCAAATCCTGGCCCCTCCTGGTGGGACCTCTCTGTGCATTCCCCTCCTGCCCCAACCTGCTCAAGGCATCCTTGGCCTGGAGACATCACAGGATTCCACCAGGCACTCACCTGCATCCTTCCTGAAAGCAGGAGGATGGCAGGATGGGGGGGTCTGGTTCACCCAGATGGATCAGGGCACACAGCTTCCAGCCTGAGATTTTTGGGAAACGACCAGTCCCTAGCACGGTGTCTGTGGAAGTGTGGGAGGGAGTCGGATTCATTCCTCTAGTGGGTGTGGGGAGAATTTGGACAGGGATAACAGCAGGGTGACTAAAGGTAAGCCCAGAGATGGGTGCTGGGCAGCATCATTCCAGGACTTGGGAAAAGGTGCCATCTCTGTCACCTCACCCCAGTGCTCCCACCCTCGTGTGGGTTTGAAGCTCCACGGCCATGCTGGTCTTGGTGTTCATTATTAACATGTCCCAACAGGAAGAAAGGGCAGCTTTCCGGTACCTGGGGATTTTTCTCCAGGAGCTGGCACAGCTCCAGGTCCAAAGAGCAAAGCAGAGCTGCTAGTCCCATCCCCAGGCAGGTGCAACCCTGCTCCCCTCTGCTTGGTCCCTCAGCCCCTCCGACCTGCACATCCCAGCCTCTTCCTGTCATCCCTGCTTCTGGCTTAATCCCGTCTCAGCTCAGAAAGGAGGGAAGTTGGGATAGGAGAGGATTGCTGCTTGAAATAGAAAAAAAAAAAAAGAGAAAAAAAAGAGATGAGTCGTAAAAGCCAGGGATGGAGGAGGGAACAGAAACATCCTTCTTTCAAGGAAAAGATGCTGTGGCTGCTGTTCTGGGTACCATATGCCAGGTAATAACACAAGATGACTCAGTGTTTGGGAAATTAAATTGGCTCTTTATTAAAAGCCTGTATTTAGGGAGGTAGTGAGGTGTCAGAGGAGTTCCTGCATCGCCTTAGCAGAGGGAATTCAGGCAGGCTGTCTGGCTCCTTATGCTGCTAAGCACGGAGTCCACAGGGTGCTGGGACACGTATCCTGCTTCAGCATCCTCCCAGAGCTGCTCCTGGGGAAGCACTGAGCATCTTTGGGAAGATCTTAGGAGCTCTTCCTAAGCTCTCTCCTACGTAATTCAGTGGAAACTGGTGGATCTCTGCCAGTGGGAAATGCTCCAACCTCAAGATTTCTGTCCCAGGAAAATAGCAAGAGGCAGAAAGAGCAGCCAGGGACACGAAGTTATTTGAGAGCACAAACTGCAACCCAAAACATGCTGTGCCAAAGTCTGGCCTTGCCATGGCAATACCCTTCAAAATGCCTTAGCAATGATGGGAATCTGCTGATTCGGAGGGGAAATACAGAATATTTACAGAGAGTATTTACAAAGTACCTTGCTCATAGCTGTGGTGTGCTGGTAGCTTGGCACTCCCTCTCTAGCTTGGAGCAAATCTTGGCTTCAGAGAGTGTAGCTGAAGGCAAAATCCAGCGTACTGTGTTCTGCTCAAATTATACATCCCCTGCACGGAAAGCTCAGCTATATATACAGGTAAAAAAATAAACTCAAGAAGGTGAGAATTCTTTTCTTCTTACCCAAGTCCTTCTGGCATAGGTGGAATGATGGGGATGTCTGCCAGCATGGAGACACAGCGGTGCCCTCAGTGGGTTTCTAAGAAGTGACCGTGGCCATTAAGTGCTTAGATGCTCCCTCAGAGACTTCTGCAGGAAAATAAGCTCTTAAAATAGTTTGGTCAACAATCTTCCTGCCAGAATCAGAGTGATCATTATTTTGGTCGGGCTGCAGTTGAATTGAAAGCAAATAGACCTCCTTTAAAAGCACAAATAATAGACCTACTGTAGGAGAGAAGGACTGGAGACAGACAAGGTCTTTATTCCCATCCTGACGGAGTCTGAGTGAGTGGCTCTGTCCTCCTTCCTGAGTGTGGAGATCTCTGTCTGTGCCTGGGGGTCCAGTGGTGATGGACGTGGGGTTCCAGCAGTCCCTCCTCCATCCAAATCTTATGGGGTGGGACAGCCTGGAAGAAAACCTAGAGAGGAACTGAGGTGATGGAGTGTGAATGTGGCCAGCCAGGATGTTTGTGGCAGAAGAGACAGCACCAAACTGTCAATATTCTCTCATATACATACATATATACATATATATATATACATATACATGCATCTATCTATCTATCTATCTATCTATCTATCTATCTATCTAAAATAAAAATCAAATATCGGAGCAGGGTACCCATGGGTGAAGCAATGCTTGGCTATGGCAAGAGGAGAAGGTGGTTTTGAAATGCTGAGTGGGGGGACAGGCTCCTTCCCCCACTTCTCAGTTATTTTTAGAAAGGCATCTGTATCCAGCACAGTAATCAGTGTGCCAAGGCTGTTTGCAAGTCAAGGCTAAATTCACTGCTATTTGGGGAAGGCCTGAAACAGGGATGGCCCAGGCTCCTGGAGAGCTGGGTTTGTGGGATCTGCTTTGCTGCAGATGGGTTGAAATCCTGCTCTGATGCTGGTTTCCATACTACAGGTGAGAAGATGCAGCTCAGAACATTTGGATTTTCTCCTTGACCTCCCACATAGCTTAAAATAATAACCTTCATTTCCTGTATTTCACATAATTCAGTTGAATAATGAGACTACCTGGACATAGCTCATTGCCTTCCTCCCCTGATTTAATTCACATCTTTGGATTAAAGAGGCCTTAGAAATACAAAGCATGATTATCCAGGTAAGAAGAAATTACCAATTTAAAGGATCACCACGATTCCAGCCACAAGGATTTGCAAAGGTCAGGCTGCTGAGGAAGCTGAGCCAAGAGCTGGAAGAGGAAGTGCAAGGATTTGGGATGGGTGATGAAGGGTGTCCTTCCATGCCGGGCAAGGATAGGATCCTGTCAGATGCCTCCATAGGGTGACAGAAAACATCTCTGTCAGGGACATCAACAAATCCAGGTTTGCCGGAGAAGGGAGTTCAAATTAATTGACAAGTGTGTTTTGCAGAGGCATGTCTGGCCAGGGAATATTCCAGTAACCCAGAAATATGTCTCTCTTCCTCTGGCTGCAAATAGGATTTTTTTCCATAATCCCTTATTGTGGATATTAATTCCATCAGAGGATTGCAATGCTGCTTACAGGGGTGCAGAGAGAAGGAACTGCTAATTGTTGGGGTGGGAAAAGAAGTAGGGGAATTTCACTGGGTGAGGGATGTGGGAAATCCAGGGCGCTGGATGGAGAACAAGAGCAAAAGGCTCTTCTAATTTTCATCTCCAGGCCTTTCAATACTTAAAAGGGGGCTTAGAAGAAAGGTGAGGACAGACTTTTTAGTAGGTGCTGAAGTGATGGGATACGGGGGAATGTTTTTAAACTGAAAGAGAGTGTATTTAGATTAGATATAAGAAGATTTTTACAGTGAGGGTGGGGAGGACCTGGCACAGGTTGCCCAGAGAAGCTGTGGCTGCCCCTGGATCCCTGGAAGTGTCCAAGGCCAGGTTGGATGGGGCTTGGAGCAACCTGGGCTAGTGGAAGGTGTCCCTGCCCACGGCAGGGGGTGGAATGAGATGTGATTTAAGGTCCCTTCCCACCCAAACCATTCTGTGAGTCTATGACTGCCATTTCATCACTTGGTATATTCTGCGCAGGCAATCTTAGTGACAACATTAATTTTTAAGCAATCTGCAGCCCCAAAAGTCTGCCTGGAATGATGTAGTAGCAAGAAGGAGACTAAAACTGAGAGGCTTTGGAGGAAAGCCAAGCTTTAGGCAAGGTTGAGCACCAGTGCTGGGTGCACTGGGTACACTTTTAATCTGAAACAAGACTGAGTAGAGGAGGCTGGGCACCACACTGAGCTGTGATAGCTGCACCATATGAGCTGGCTCTGCCAGAGCCAGGGCTAGTACAGATGTGGGGCTGGTAGCCCAACCCTTGGCTGCAGAGGGGTAGAAGGCAGTATGACTCAGTGGGCTTGGGTTTGGGTGAGCTGGGCTGCTGGTGAGGATAGATGAAAGCCTTCAGTCCTCAGCTTCAGCTTTACACCTGTGAAACGGGCAGAGTCTGCCAACTCTGTTGGTAAAGCAGTTTGTGAGTCAGCTTTCACCAGGTGTTAATCATCACTGTGTTTGTAGGGATGCCAGCAGCCCCGGGTGAGCCAGGGCTCAGAGGGACTCTTTGAACATCTGTCTCTGGTCCTTAGGACAAGTCCTAGGAGAAAATCTCCCTCTTTGGGAAAATGAGAAGTTTCAGGGTGCTGCAGTTTTGTGGCTTAACTCCTTCAGGCTGGTGGCAGCTTCCTTGCCTGATCTTGGGTTAATCCAGGATCTGGTGGGGAAGAGCCTGTCCAGGAGGCTTTCACCAAACACTTACTGATGCCAGCAGTCCAGGTTCTTGCTTCTCCTGCTCCTGGGAGCCCACATCCTCTGCACTCACCTTCCTTCACTCTCTGTTATCTCTCACTCATCTTCTAATGATGCCTTTCCTGGCCCTGTCTCACCTTCTGATATGGAGATACTCCCTCTCCCCCCAGATCCTCTCTCTACTCTACCTACCAGCAGAGCCACCCCAAAAAAGAAGGATTGCCAGCAAACAGCTCTCCAGCACCCATCAAACATAGGAGAGCCTGGAAAAGGTGTGTTTTTGTCAAGTAAGTACTGTTTATATATTATGTGCAAAGGAGAAACCATCAGGGTCTCTCAGACTCCATTCCCCCAAGGAGAAGAACTTACACCCCTCCTTCCACCAAGGAAATGCCCCAGACCACCTGAGTCTTTCATCCTCTTTTTCCCACTGGGCATCTCCACACTATGAAATGATAGTCCTTAACCACACAAACTTGTGGTTTCCACGTGCCAGCAGGTCAGGCTGAGCAATGACAAGAGCCCAGGATTTATCCTTTGTCTGTTAGTAAAACAAACAAGCTTATCTTCACAAGGGCCTCGGTTCTTATCACATGGCTTTGGTAAAAATACACCCTGCTGAAGTACTCACCTCCCTTCCTCAGGACCTGCCAGCTACCCCAGTTTCAGCCCCACTGCCTTCCCAGTAAGGTGACTGGGAAGGAAAGGGAAACATTTTCATTCCCTGCTCGCTGCAAAAGCAGTTAAAAAAAAAAAAAAAGGGTTTGACACGTTCTTGCTTTTGATAGGAGAAAAAAGAGATAACAATATCAAACCACAGGCAAGCCAGGCATATGGCAGGTATTTTATCATGCTCTGGCCTTTGGGAATCAGAGCAGGGCAGGTTTATATTAACCACGCTGGGACAGAATATAGACACGCTGTAGATATCCTCATACCTCCACACAGGATAGCAGACACATGAGACGGAGATTTGAAGCTTCTTGTCATACTATCCTCCCTAGGATAGACACTGCTTAAAGATTTGGCTGTTTGAGAGCAAAACTTCTATTTATTTGCCCCCAAATCCACAGTGCATGAAGTCAGAAATGACAGGAATAACAAAAGATCTTTTCACCTTCCTCAGGCTGACACTTTTCACCCCTCCAAGCTGGAGTGCGTCCCTGTGGCTCAGGGAAGGACCAGAGGGGCTGGGGGAGCCTGACCTTGAATGTTTCCAGGGATGGGGCATCCGCCACCTCTCTGGGCAACCTGTGCCAGTGCCTCACCACCCTCATTGTAAAAAACTTCTGCCTTATATCTAATCTAAATCCACCCGCTTTTAGTTTAAAATGATCACCCCTCGTCCTATTGCAACAGGCCCTGGTAAAAAGTTTGTCCCCAACACTGCACCCTGGTTTGCTAATGGCTCTCAGATTTCTCATGATTTTTCCTATAAAAATCCTCCAAATGCCATAAAAAAAGCAGCAAGCTTTTTCAGAGCTTTCTCTGTAAAATAAACTTGCTTTTCTAATACATCCCTGTAGTATGACAGTGCTGTACCCCAGCTGGAGACCCCCAGGCAGGGATGGTTCCACACCATCCTGGCTTTCCTAGGTACCAGGACTTGACTGTTTTCCCCAGGGATAGGACAGAGGGAGAAGTTTTCCTAGGTTTCCTCCCTCTGTTGAGTGAGGAAATTTCCTTTGTTTCAGAAGTGACAGCAAAATCTGGGAAGATGCTGAGTTCATCTTTGCTTAGCTTTGCTCCTATGAATAATTATTAGCAGGTCTTTGTAGCTAGACCAAGGATGAACAGGCACAGCCTGCTTCAGTCAGCAGATATTCCAGTGTCCCTTCTTCTACTTCCGAAATAAAATGTCTAATTTAACTTAATTTCTAAATTATCCTAATTAAAAAGAACTAGCAACACAATTAAGTGCACTCTGCAGAGAGAAACTGCTTTCTTCAAGGGAAAATAATCACGAAAGACCTGCTTTTGGATTCCAGATAACACAACTTCCAGCAGATAATGTTTAATTTCTATACATAACAACCCCACGTTTTCTGGCTGGGCTTTGTTCAGAGGGGGTGAAGTGCAGACTGTTAGAGGAACAGTAGACTCAAACCACCATTCCATCATTCGGGTCCTGGATCTGAGAAAATCTCTATTGATTAGAAATCGATGATATTTGCAAGGCCCTTCCAACCATTTGGAGAAGCAGGGTATTGCGAAGTCGGGCACCTCAAAATCCTCAGCACCTTCCAGAAAACTGTGAGATTTTGGATTCTACAAGGGATTGCAGTGACAGGACAAGGGGGAATGGCTTTCCATTGCCGGAGGGCAGGGTTAGATGGGATATTGGGAAGGAATTCCTGTCTGTGAGGGTGGGGAGGCCCTGGCCCAGGTTGCCCAGAGAAGCTGTGGCTGCCCCTGGATCCCTGGAAGTGTCCAAGGCCAGGTTGGATGGGGTTTGGAGCAACTTGGGATAGTGGAAGGTGTCCCTGCCCATGGTAGGGGGTGGAATGAGATGTGATTTAAGGTCCTTCCCACCCAAACCATTCTGGGATTCTGTGATTTTAGAAGAGATTAGTGAAGTTGGAAAGGACCTCCAACAGCCATCTGTCCAGGTTCTGAGCATTTATGGAGCACTTAGCAATCCCATTGGGGAAAATCCTTTCTTAATGTTAAATTTGATTCAGTTTTGGATTCTGTTAAGCTGTAAGGAAGGGCAGCAAATATTGTCAGAGTCATGCCAGAGTCACTGCCAGAGCATGGTGATGGGAAATAATTTTCTACAGTCTTAAAG